GAGGGGAAAAGCTGTGGGTTATCAATCATCTGCGTATCTGAAGACGGGCGCATGTTTTTATACAGCGGCAAGGAGTTCACACGGCGAAATGAGTTTTGTGGTGCTGGTGATGCTGTCAAGTGAAGGCGAGGTTTTTGTGCCTTCAGTTTCCAGGCCCTGGAATGGACAGTGGCATTTAAGTTGGCTCTTGGAAACAAGCTTCTGCTTCAGGCTACTGCGTGCCTTTGCAGAATCACCACGTTTTACACGTCGCTGCCTCAGTCCACACTGGAATATGCTTTTGCACTTGTCTGACCACTTTTCCCGGGAAAAGCAGCATCTTCCCCCCCAGGCACCTATGTTTTTAAATTCCTGATTCTTTTTTGTCAGGTTCCGGATATAAATTTGCAGGTGAATAGGTTGTTACAGTTCTTGCTCTAAAAGGTCAGCCTAAATTATTTTGTGCATATAATATGAAAGCTTGTGTGCCTGATGGATTTCTGTAGCACGTAAACACCACTTCTCATGGGACTGCTGACCTGAATAATTACCTCATCTCCGTTGTTGTTGACCTAATCAGCTCAACCCAATATAATATAAGCTCAAGCTATTTGGAAAAGTTTCTCAGACTGCTTTATACAGAATGGAAGGTTTTAGATAAATTAGTAAACAGCAGATAGTGATGCTTAGCACTAAATTTTGGTCTCTTTTACTGTGATCTTACTTGGAATTTCTTTGTTAACTTGAGTTTCACACAGTTGCACTGTTCTAACTGAGAGCAGAATTTCCCTCAAGTAGGTTTGGGAGATTTTTTTTTTTTTTAAAATACTCGATCCGTTTTTTTTCTCTTTGTGTGACAGTGAATTAAAAAAAAAGATAAATGTTAACATTTGTGTAACATGACATATTAAATTTATAAATTATTATTATTCTAGTAAGTTAACAAGAAAAAGTTTAAATACAACTTTTTTATTTCTTTGCATTTCATTTTTCATCCATTTCTATTACTTAGCATTTTTCTTTTGTGTAACATGCTTTTAACTCAGACATAATTATCATAATTCCCCCTGCATGCATATGCTTATGGATTACAATGAATCATTACTTTATTTAATTCAATTACATGCTGTTTTAATCACTGCTATTAAACTACCTTTGCAGATTTGTCATGAATGCTTACAGACTCTACACAATGCCAAATGGACAGTTGTTTTTCAAGATGCTTATAAAAAGCAATAGGTAATGTCATTTTAGTCTTCTGTCAGACCCATTTTTTTGCCTGAGATAACAGGCCAAAATGTTCTAATAAGCTCTTTTCATTCTCCACCTCTTGGTGGAAAATAAGTTGCCCGAAGAGAATTTACTTAAAGCTACAATAATTGCATGCTGTATGTGATTTGCTCTGCTGTTCAACTTGAGTTCATTATTGATCCTCTGGCATTTCTTGTGATCTCTATTTTCCGTAACCATCTAGAGTACAAATAACTTTACATCTGTAATTCTTTTCATAAAGCCTGATGTATTAAATCGGCTCCTATCTGTGATCACACTTAACCAAACACATTGGTATGTCATTAGCCAGCATGGCTGAGCAAATCAGAGTTTATTTTTGCACCGGCAGCACTATTCCAGTCATACATTAAACCCAAGGCCCTTGAAGAAGTATCAGTTTAAAAGTAATCAAAAGCGCTCCAAGACTATGTTATTCTGTTGTAAGCATGCAAATTTCCAATGTTTATTTTGGTAGCAAATTTTAAACTAATATAATCCTATCTGGATTGTAGAGAAGCAATCTACAGCAAATTGTCATGTAGCCGATGTGATCAATGAGTCATGCTTTCTTGTTTGTCACACAGTGTCTTTCTGTGATACTTGGAAAATGACATAGGATCTGTTGCAAAACTCAGAGACGCCAGCAGCCCCAGTCTCCTACCATAAAGGAATCGCTTTTGCTATATTCCAAATGCATCAATGCCCATACATACATCAATATGTATGGCTATTCCTTCTAATGATTAATAATTATTATGTGGATAAGCCTCTAATGAATACGAACAGTCTGAATCGTTACCATGATTTCAAATGAATGGTGTTTGGGGACGTACGAAAGGGAAGAGAGGGAAGGGGAGGGCTGTCGCAGATGGAGAAAGGTAGACGTCTAGAGAGAGGACATCCAGTCAAGAATTATCTATATTTCATCTTCTAGAGCTTTCGCATGCAGTGAGTATGTCTGAGGACTGATCTGCCTGACTGAGCAATAGTGGGAGTCTACTTAAAACAATCCTGTTCCTTTTTTTTTTTCTCCACGTAGACTGAGCACTTCAAAATTGTACTAAGACCCTTCGTACTAGGAGCAGAATAGCTGATGCCTTGGTCAAACTTTAATGAGGCAAAATGTCTTATCCTTTATGAGGAGAACCAGAACGTCATATCTCTTATGAGAATAACCAGATTATTCAGGTTCAGGATTTCGTAGCTAGAATTAATTTATCTAGCTTTATGTTTATCTTTTAAAAAGACATTAAGCACACAGCTGTACGTTAGGGCAGACTGCTGCGGTACAGCCTGCTGCTTTGCCAATTGCTTCGGGAAGCAGCTTGCTCGAAGCGATTTTTTATCATTTCTGTTTATTAATTGAGATTGTGGAAAGAGTTGAGAACAGATTATGGCCGTGGTTAATAGTATTTATCGGTAGGTAAAGTTAAAAATTCCAGTCTAATAACTCATGCTGCTGCCTCCTACAAAACTGAATTGGCGGCTGATTGATTGTGTGCCTGGGGCGATCTGCTCTCAGCAAGCAGAGTACAAGCAGAGGCGAAGGCAGAAAAGAAAAGAAAAATCAGCCTGCAACCTCAGTTTATCCTGTTGTCATGGCACCAGGGTTGGGGCGATAGCAGTCGTTTTCGTGACGGCGCCCGCGCCTCCTTGCGGGATGTGAAGGACTCAGGAGCGTCGCGCAAAGGCGAAGAGCCCCTCAGCCCGACGCTGTGCCACCGCCTACCGATGAAACGCCTCCCCGGAGCGCGCGCGTCCTCAGCTTCGCAGCCCTGCGCGGGGCTGGGAAGCAGCATCTGGCCGTGAAAATTGCTTGGTTTTGCATCCTAGGGAGATTACTCATGTGGTTTCTCCACCGGAGAGTGTCGGGTACGTTCAGTCGTATGTTCGGTTTTCAGAGTCTTGTCTGACTCGCTTCAAATTCATACATCAGTGCTTAAAAAATGATGTACGGTATTGCTGCCTCGCATAGTCCCACATAAAACTCCTACTCTCCAATGTGTTTCCTTATCCCTAAGTAAGCAGTCTTTGCTAGCATCTTTGGAAAATAACCTTTAGAAAATGTTTGCATCTGATTAATCTTCCTGGTTTGTACGCTCGGTGTCGAATTAGATGATCCAGCTATCGCTTTTATTCAAAGGCCTCGTTAGGTAAAGCTAACCCTATGTGTGTTTGCACTCAGATCACTTAAAGCTCGAGCAGCAATTTGTGGTGGGGTGGGAGAGAAATCGGTATTTGTTTTACCTCAATGGCACTGCTACTGCTTGTAGCTTGTTATTGTTTTTGTTATTCGCCCTACTGCTTTAAAGAGAGAAAAAAAGAGCAAATACACTTCTTAAAATTCAGTAAATATTTTAGAGCACAGTATCTGAAAACATGCTTCAAATACTGAGTGACAGTTTGTCCATTGGAGAGGATAACTTCTCTGTTCTCACGACTTGTTGAAAATACCAGTCTCTAAAACTTGCTGTGTCTTTCACTACACAATAGAATCCCCCTTCCTACTCTTAAAAACTTTAGGTCTCCGAATATTTGTATACTTAGTTTGCTGATATCATTAGGAGTTGCCATTTCTCTGCATGATTAGGTAGCGTTGTTAATCTGCAGCATTTCGGCGTTGTAGGGACCTCTATCCTGAACATTAGATGAAAAACGAAACTCTTAAGAACTAACTTTATTTTAGTTCTTTACTAAAGGGATTGTATGTTACTATTAACCACTTAATTTTTTTTTCAAGTAAGAATGATTATATTGAGGTAAAAGTTGGGTTAATCTGAACAATCCCACCAGGAGAGTAGGTATTTTCTAATAAGTATTGTTTCAGGTCATGTGCGACTAAGAAAAAAAAATTATATGTATGTAGAGAGAGAGAGAGTTATATATCCTCTACACAGAATCCTCTATACAATCCTAAAAGAATGGTTTAAAGTATTACAGGTTCTCCACAAGGAACGTGAGATGCTCTTTATAAAGCAGGTGGATCCAGCGTACTGAAGCCCCTGCTAAGATGTCAGTTTATACATCATCTTTACACAGGATCGTAGCAGTCTGGGATCTGCTTAAGAGAAGTGGTCCGTCACTTCTCAGTCCACTTCTCCTCCATGTTGCTGACAGTCCGAGCATAGTTTGGGCCTGGAGCATTCACGTTAGGTTTAAGAAGACCTGAGCTCAGCTGATCCCTTGTAACACACTGAGCCCTGCCATGTCCAAGCTTTCCAGGGTGCCCAGGCTGCAGGGCATACACTGCGCGCTTGTGGATACAAACCAGGATGATCAGGAAATCTGGACCTGAGCATGATCTTGGTCTCTGGCTGACCTGATTGTGCCTGGGGACAGTTGTTGACCATTGCCCGCCTCTGCAGGTACAGTCAGTGAAATCTTCAGTGGTGTGACTGGATTAATACTGCTAGCTTCAACAGGTGCTATGCCAGCTTATCCACATGGCAGGTCTAGACCGCTGTCTTTCTTAGGAAGTAAAATCAAGGGGAGATGGTTTCTTCAGAAAGCTTTTCACTACACATGCGTTCGACATATGACTGCAGTAAATGCATATGTTTCATGTTGACCTGCATATATGAGAAGCATCTTCTCCATGTCCTGCTGTGTACCCACTGCTGTTTTAACTTTCTCCAAAGGAAAAATAATAGACAGCAAGGGCCAAATTTGGATGCACCCTGTTGCTCTGCCTGCAACATAAGCAAGGGAGGTGTCTAAAAGAGGATTTTGCTCATATTTCTTTGTTCTAGTATCAGGTGGAGTATATGGGAAGCTGGCTGCTGCTCCAAGCCATACTCAGTCCTTGCAGATTCTGCAGGGGCCAAGGAGGGTCAGGGTGGGCCCCTCAATCTTTCACACCTAGCAAGGTTTCAGTGGGGTTTCTTTTATTCCTTTTCATGACTGTTATCTACTTCTTGCTATGCATTTGTGATTATGAACTTGCAGCATGTCTGTGTGAGGGCACTTCAGGCAGGCAGGGTTTCCAGAGAGATTGAGATTTGTGTCTCTGGCCTTGTCTTTTGAATAGTTAGATACCGACGCTGATCTCGACAAAAGTAAGAGTCGTGTGTGGACAATGAAGAGGAATTGCAGGAAGCACTGATTTATTTGTAGCTGTCCTGCTCTACACTCATCAGTCTGGCGCAGGTGAACAGTGGGCTCTACAAAAGCAATCCTGAAGAACAGGAGATAATGGTGTTAATCCTAGCGGTCAAGTGAGCTATCAGGGTTAAGTACAGTAGTTCCATTTAATTAATGGCAAGTGTATTTTGATGTATTTTGGGGAAGCTGTCGGTTCATGGCTTCTGAGTGAGACACTAGCTGGATACCAGGCTGAGTTGTAAGGTATACTTCCTGGCCTGTGCTCCTCCTGGAAGTTTTACAGCTTCCAGCTGTCATGAAGTACCCTAAGCAGAAACAGAAAATAAAATATTATTTTATGTATGATTATCTAAAAACGTGATTTCGTTGGAAAACTCAAATATCTAAAAGGGGCAACAGGCATTCTGAACACGACTCCTCCCTGTCATTTCCTCTTCCAGAGAACAAATGTTTGTTTTTCGGAGATAAATATTCAGGTCTGGCCCCATTCATCTTATCTACCAGATTCATTTTATTCTATTAAATAATTGAATTTATTTTCACTTGGTTACAGATTGTGTAGCCATACAAGTATAAACCATTTATAAACAGTTACTTTCCAAGTAGCATCATGTAATACCTACCCTCTTAAGTAAGAATGACAAGAGTTACTCAGGCAAAGGGCGGAGATAGATAAAAAATAATGTTTTGGGTCTGAATATGGAGTTGTCTGGAGCTAATCGCTGGACAAGATGCTGATATGATCTCAGTTCTTGGTTCAAAAACAAAAGAAAAAAATTAAAAAGCAGACAAATATGCTTCCACAATGAACTATTCTGAGTCTGGTAACTAACTGTCTCTTTTTATTTTACTTACAGAATGGTCTTATCGTTGCCTGTTACCAAGGTTATGTGGATATTGTAATAGCCTTAGCACAATGCCCTCATCTTGATGTAAACTGGCAGGACAATGAAGGGAACACAGCTTTAATTACAGCTGCGCAGGCAGGTAAGGCTCTTTGTTTCACCTCTTGCATACAGGGTCTAAGATGAAATGTGTCCTGTGGCTATTATTTTGAGGGGGGGTTGTCGAAGCCTGCAAAGAAATTAGACTGTGTAAAGTAATTCTGGCCATGCCTAATCCCAAATAAGTCTGTCATGAATTTTTTCTTTGAATTAATTAATCTGAAGCAATATTTACCTCATGGATTAAGAGAGAACAAGCCATTCACTTCTAGTAGATGTCATTAAATATTTTAACTTCGAAACAGAGATCGTGCCCCAAACATGCAGTCCTATACTACCTTGTTCCTTTCAGCTTTTTGCCCTCTATTTGCTCTGGCAAGCACAAGTCAACATTGTGGTCATATGGTGCGCTATATTAGTGCTCATAGCTATCTCTTTTTCTCATATTTTTTTGCGCCGACCTCAGTGGGCCTGCAGTAATTGCTGACTATACAAAAATGTATCATTATTCAGAGATGCTTTAGCTGCAGCTATGTCATTCAATCCCCCCCCTGCCTAGCTAAGAGCAGAAAAATACATGTATATAGTCTCAGCAGGATTCAATTTTCAGCAGTGCTGATTTTAGAACAGATTGACAGTGCTGACCTTAACCACGTTAATCCTGGTGCAGCCTGGAATGAGAGCAGAGTTCTTCTCTGGGTTTTCTTTTGTCCCATCCAGCATGGTAATGGTCTGTGAACAAGGTCTTTATCCTTTCTTCCTGGCAGTGGAGAATATGGGATGTCCATGAGAGTGAGGATGTTGGGCATGGGAGGGAGATAGTATTCCCTCCCTGATCCTGTCTGTTCTTCTCTGGCTGCCTGGAGGAAACTAATGGGCCTTTCCATCAGACAGGCATCACAAGTAGTAACTGCAGACCAGAGTGATTAGATTTTTGCTTTTAACTATTATTGCCACTAAACATCTCAAGGTGGTGCTGAACTTAGCTTTGCATTGTACCGAAAAATGAAGTCCACCACAGAAATCACTGTACGATAAGTCTTAAACACTAGGCAAATTGCTACCAGAGTTGCCAGCTTCACAGTGAAGTCATCGTTACAGTAGCTTTCTAAAGAAAGTTGAGAAGTCTTCAAAACTCTAACCTACTTCTATTTATCTCCCCTAATATAAATTTGAACTATAAAAGGTTTAACATTAACAGTGACTCCTTCTAGACATTTATACTTAATGATAATGAGCTCAGCATTAATCCAGAGGGCTGACATTGACTTGACCCTGCCTGTCGGTACCTGCTGTTGATCTCCAGAGGAATGGGAAATAGCAGTAGTCAGCAGAAGCTTATACAAACTTGGAAGAGCTTGGACGTTTTCCCCTGCCTGTGACAATCCTGAGCTACAGTGTTGACACCAGTTATTTAATTCATTATCACTACATACTAGAGGTAGAAGTAATACCGATTATCATGTAGTTAGTGTTGCAGCCAGAGGAGTTACAGTGCAACAGATGCTGCTTCATTACTGCTGAGCTGGAAGAAGCCATAACGCTCAGCAGTGTATTGTAAAGGACGGAAAGCAAAGCTTATGTGAGCTTTAATGGAGATTTTATTCATATTTCACATGCAGAACTTTTAAAATGGAGTTTTAAAATGAGCCTTCCTTTTTTTCTGCAATTTGGGGCTGTTGCTGCTTCAGAAGTCTTCCACGATCTGGTCCATTTTCTCTGGTCCTCACAGCTTTCAGTGCTGAGTGGGTAGACAAATACATCTGCTGAGTGCAGTGATAGGTCAAAATGAATTCTTTTGAGTGGTGTCCAGTTTGTGGTATGTCATCCCTTCCCACCGGGCAGCCTCAAGACTGCTTGATGTCATTATTTTCCAGGTATTATACTCCAGGCTGATAGAGTCTATTGCTCTTCAGCTGGTTGGGCAGTGCCAGCATTACCTGCCAATTCCTGGCAGTTTCAATAAGATGATATGGCACACTTACCAGTTCCTAAGTTGTGTGAGATATAATGAAAGCTAAGAAGCTTATTTGTTTTTTTCCTGAACTCACTAACTCTATGAAGCCTACAACTTAGCTTTAAAGAAGCTATTTGTATTTATTGCTGGTGAAAAGTATCATCAAGAAATGATGTCCTCTGCGTATCCTGCAAACACCATCCCAATCAGAGATAAGAGACTCAGCTCATTCCACAAAGTTCTTGGAATTCATGCTGAATCTGCCATTTATCAAGAAATGTTCTCAAGAGTTTGCAGCAGGAGCTGAAACTGAGATCCAAATTGCTTTTCTCTTGGGGGTCTACAGACAAGAAGAGCTTTAAAGGTCTACGGAACTGTGCTGAATTTGAAGCAGTGGCCCAAGAATGAAAGGTTTAGTTGATTATTAGCAATTTTTGGAGGCAACTGCTGGCTGAAAAGGTGTCATGGATATATTGGGAAAAGAAATTCTACTGACTTCTAATTGCATTTTTTTTTAACGAGGGCCACCTTTGCACAACCTTATTTGTGCAGGCTGGTTCTCCCTAGCCTCCCTGCTGTGTGGACTGCCATTATACAACGTTTGAGTAGAAGATACCAGGAATTATACTCCCTGGTTTCCTCCATTTCTTCTCCAAAACCATGGCATTCTGAATGGTGAAATCTTCAATGAAGAGAAGGTCAACAGGAAGTAAAAGCACAAGAACAAGTCTCAAAGAGCAGCAGTTATCACTAAGTAACCTTTCTTTTTCAGTCAGAAAACCTTCAGAAGTGCAGTGAATCACCTGGCTTATTTGAAGTATAGGAAGTGTTGCTGAGTAGTTGGAGTCTCTCCACAGCAGGTTTCTTTTGATTCCTCCGCTGGGATGCTCAGAAGGCTGCCACCTGGAGCCTGTGCAGGGTTGTATTCTTAGAGCTTTTAATATATTTATGAAATCACTAAACATATCATCTATTAAGTATCACATTCTTTTTAGAATTAAGTATCTTCTGTTAGTGTGGCAGGAAAGGCATGTTGTTGCATGTGGTTGTTTGCTGTATAGTATTTGTACAATCAATTTCAGAATGCTTTCAGGCTTGCTAGGTTTTTTAAAGTTCATGGAATTTTGTGGAAAAATGATTTCAGAAGGAATATGGATTTCAAAATGCCTGAATTTCCACAAGAATTAGGCATTCTGAATTTCAGCCTGTCCCAGTAATAACCAAAGCAAACACTTAGTTTTGAGCTACAGTTCCATACTGTTGTCCCCAAAGCCAATCTTTAAATGTAGAAATGCGTGGCCACCTTGCCACCCGCTTCGCTTGTACTCCTCTCTTGTACAAGCAATTGCAGAGATTTTTTGTTTGTTACTGTAGCATTACCAATCTCTCTGCGTTAAAAATTGCGCATAGTCTTTGTATTCTTTCTTTTCTTTCCACAAAGAATAGGAGGGGAAGCCAAAACAGAAATCCAAAGTGTTGAGAAATTCACAGAGCACAAAGCCAAGGCTTCGTCAAATATTCAGTCAACTGATCTATCCACTGGCCTGGATCCTCTCTCCAAGTCATTAGAAAGTAGAAATATTGGAAAAATTACCCAGTTTCAAACTGAATAGCATATTTTTCCTAACTATGTGATATTCACTCCTCAAAATTACTGCCAGAACAAACTCTTAGGCCATGGAAAGAACAGTACTTTTGCAAAATAAAACAAATTATTCACCAAGATCACTGCTGGTTATAGCAAAATTACTGTTTTTCCTGTAGACGGTCTAGTGGCACATTCACGTTATTTCAGGCAATTGTACGGTCACATCAGCTGGTTCCAGCAAGGACTAGCATTTTTGTTGTGATCCGCACGGGCTGTTCATTGCTCAGGGCCGTCCCATGCGGCCTGACTCCAAAGAGTACCTGCAGGGGATGGAGGCTGTGGTCCCGTGGGATCGCTCCCTGTGTTTCAGTGCCTGTGTCTGTAATAACGTGAGGTACAGAGAATAAGGGAGACTATAGGGAGGCTTTCTTATTTGGGGTAGATGCAGTTAAAATCCACACTTGCTCATGAAATTTTGTAACTGCTTACCCAAGCTGCTCAAATTCGAGCATCAGTTGGAATTGAATAGAACTGTTTTAGATGCCGGCTAAGGTCTTAGGAGTAAATTCAGTTCCTTATATCCATTTGCTTTTGGTAATTTTAGATTCACATTTTTCCAAGAAAGCATCTAAAGCTGAAGCTTTTCTGAATGGGCAGATCTGAATAACATACGGTGGAGGGATCAGTGAAAAGCAGTACTTTCTTAATAAGCTTATTAGTACAGAAAAATAGCCAAAACCAAAGTACTCAACTTAGGGTGTAAATTTCAGTTTGAAAATTGGCCTGTTTCCTTGCCCTGTCTCTCAGTATTTCTTTCAGACATGGGATCCTTTCTCGAAGAAAGCTTGCATTCCCAAACTGTCAATTTGTGACAGCCTGCAGCAGACGGTGCCCCAAAATTGGTGATGCAGCTAAAGCAGAAGCAAAAATCATTAAATGGCAGTCCAGGGGCAGTGCAGAGAGGATGGGAGATTGATGGAAATGAAAGCGAAATAGCAAGAAGTAGAAAGAAAGGAAGGAGAGTGGCAACCAAAAAGGGAAAATGGAGGGAAATTGTAGTAAATAAAAATTGTTAATCCTCAGTCCTGCTGTTGACTGGGGAATAGCTACATCAGTGCAAGTGTGTGGTAACTGGCATACAGTGGTGTTTAGAGAGAGTTGCATTTGCCCATTTTTGAAATATATGCTTGGTGTCCTAGGGACCTCCCTGGAGCAGTGGTGTACAGCCTTGAACACAAGGTCACAGATTAACCCAATTTCTTTTTATTAACGAATATAGGAGAGCTCAATCACCTAAAACCATAAAAGATCATAAAAGATAAAAGATCATAAAAGATACTGGGCATCTTCAATTGCATTTGTCTGGCAGAAAGCATTCACTACCTATAGACCGAGTATAGACCATTTACAGGCACAATTCACTGGCCAAATCATGATGCTACATGACAGAGCATCTTCCTTATTATGCAGATTATCCTTCTGCCTCTATTTCATAGATTATTAGGTAATATTGTAGTCATTATATGTATTTCCTCTGTGGCAGCAATTAAGTGAACTTAAGCTACGTGCAGACATCTGTCCTTGTCTCTAAATACGGCTCAGAGCACAAAGAGCCGTACCCTTAGCACGCTAGCTACGGTGGAAATACATCTGGCTTACTAACAGCAAGTGCCTGATATGAATTCAGCATGACTAAAGTGGCTAAGGCCAGGCTAGTTTATTTTAGAGCTGCATACAGCTTTCGTAGCAGACTTTAAATCACACAAGGCTCACCTCGTTTACGATTTAGATAGATACAGACTTTTAGGTCACCCAGCTGCAGGAGAAGTGAAGCAAATGCTCTGGCCTTAAATCCAAAGCGTGTGACACAGTTTGAGCAAAAAACCTGGCAGCTCTGAGTTTTCCTTTGAATTTGATATTTGTTTGAACTTGAAATTTGAAGGAAAGCTCAGAGGACCGAAACTCCCGCAGATTAAAACTGAAGTGGATTTTCAGGAATCCCTGCGACGGGAAACTTCTGAGAAACACAAACCTTTTTTTGTTTTGTCTTTAGTTTTCTTTCTAATTTTATTGCTGATTTTTTCTGTATTGTTTGAGGCCACTTGTAGTCCCCTGGTGAGTTTTGCCTGAGCAAGGTCTTTCAGGATTGACTCTTAGGATCATCCCAGATTTCCAAAACCTCTCTCACTGTAGCTACACTTTTGGCTACAACAAAGGGAACAACATCTCTAGTCATGTAAGAAATGATGGAAAATCTTCCATCTTAGTATTTCTGCTTGTTTCAGTTGCTGTTTTGAGGTTAAAGAGCAGCACTGCAGCTATTCCGAAATTTACAGGGGGAAGGACACTGTACATTGATGGAGCAGAGCATATCCTGCAAAACATTTTGAGCACAAAGACCCTCCTGGTAGTAACTGATGCCCTGTTGGGATTTGATTGGACGCCATAGAGCCAGTGAAGCCGAAGCCTCTGGGTTCAGTCAGCAGGACTGGGTCACTTGATCCTGCTGCAAGCCCAGGTCACTTTTGCTTTGTTCAGCGTGTTGCCGTTTGCCGTAGCTTTACATTTCTTTTGCATCAGACACCGGGAGCTCCTTACCTGGCTTTCTCTGCCTCTGCCATTGCTGCACTGTCTCTACATCTGCCCCGGCTTCGGGAAACTTCCCAGTTACACAGCAAGGTAGCAGAGCCCAGGAAATTATAGGAGATGAAGAGCAAGACCAATAAAACATCTCGGAGTTAAATACCTTTCAAATTAATTGGCGGAGATTTTCTTAACTTGCTTTATAAAGTGAATGCAGGACTGTGTTCGTGCAAAGCAACTGCTGATGAAAACTGCACCAGATGTGCCGCTGTAGACTTTAAAAATTGTTCTCTGTGAATTATAGTCTGCCTCAGTAACATTTTTAGATGAATCCGAATGACATGCATCACAGAGTATTCAACTGGACTGCAAAGTGAGATGAGAGAAAATTTTTACAGCTCATAGTAATTAAATTGTGATTTTTGCAGCTGCCTGACGGACTGCATTATAAAGCATCAAAACAGTGTAAAATGAATGACAAGTGAAGGGAAAGCTGTTTTGAATGAGTCATAATGGCACTGGATATTTGTCTTGTTCCAACAGTCCGATTATAAAGAGTTGATGTTTTAATCGGTCTTCCAACCACTTAGCCAGAGACATCTTCAGCTATTCAGAGCACCCTGGCTGACACCAGTTGTCCTGGCTCACAAGGCAAACAAATGGCAATGCCAGTTGCTTTTAGAAGCAGGACTTAAGTCATTTGTTTTACCACAAAACCAGGAGAACAGCCCCATTGTCCTGTTGCTGGAGAGGTGACAACTGGCTTTACACTGCCAGAGGGAAAAATAAATAAAATAGCTACATGGGATTATATGCAAAACATTTCTTGGTCTAGTATCAACCAAGGCATGGTTTGTTAGCGCTGTTGGCTGGTACTACCGCATGTAATCACTGTTTAATACGCACCACGATTTTGAAGCTCAAATTTACTAGGAGAGTGAAAAAGCTAAGCCTTTGCCATTAGGTCCCACTGGTAATGGGCCTTCCATAAGCTGCAGAAATTCCCCTGATATCTTATTAATTTTCTGTATTTTTCAGTTCTCAAACCTGCAGCAGTGATTAATATTCAGTTTTATCTTCAAACTGTCCCTTAATTTGGTGGTGCATTTTCTCTGCTTTTTCCTTTCCTTCAAGGGCACATCACCATTACAAACTACCTGTTGAACTATTTTCCTGGACTTGATATTGAGAAGAGGAATGTGTTTGGATTTACCGCCCTGATGAAATCTGCGATGCAGGGCCGCACTGAATGCGTCAGAGCCTTGATGCTGGCAGGTATGCCAAGGGCTTCACCTTCTCATCATCATCAACCTGTAAATACTAGATAGTCATGTGTGGAAAAAAAAAAAAATTGACTCAAGGTTTTTACTGTCTCTTCACACCTGAGTACAGGAAATACGTTTCTTCCAGTTGGCCCTTGACTCGTTCACTGAGTTTCCAGCCGTGTTCCTAGAGGGGTGAAGGGTTCCTGGAGGGGAAACTCTCAAGGGCAAGAGACACTGGGACAACATCCACTAAAGGAGCAGGACCAGACCACGGGCAGGGCCAAACACTGTAGTGGTGTTTTTGCAACAAGATTGTGTGTTTTTCTTACATGAAATAAGGAATATGTAAATTAGTAGTTAATAAATAACAAATAATTAGTACAAATAAATAAGTAAATACTATAACTATTTTAATATATATTATTATAATATAGTTGCAGATATTTAAAACAAACAAAATACTATGGAAATAATAACAGACTGCATTGCCATTAGCCTGGATCCAGCATCTGACAGATCCATTTCATTACAGACTTGAGATCTTGAAGAAGTACTTAATTTCAGCCATTTTGCTGTCACAGAAGCCTTAACCCTTCAAGATGTGGATGTTTTAAGTAGACAGGCATTTATCAAGCATGGTGATATTACATTCATCCATTTTCATAATATCCAGCTTCCAGATGTCGATATGACATAGAAAATGATCAGATAACTGGGAAGTTATTTTTTGCAAGGTTCTCTAGCCTCTTATGCTGGAATTAGCGTTTTGAAATCAGATCATTCATTTTGCAGTTACATTTTTATGAAGAAAAATTGTAAAAGGACTGTTAGAGCTAGAGTACTGCTCGATACAGATGCTCTTTTCTGAATGCACTTCGCGCCCATGCCAGCTCAGAATTTTCCAATGCTAGTTATAAATTGTCAGTTAAAATGAAACTTCGATCCTGAGACCTTATGGCTTGTCAGATTGACCTTCAAGTATCATGACTTTCTATTATTGTCACTGAAGATTTGATGGAAGCTTGTTCTTTCTGTTTTGGTCACTAGAAGCTATGCCCATCTTTGCTGCCCATCTTTGCAGGTAACTCAGTCTTAGTTATTAAACTTTTTGTACAAAAAGGGTCAGCATCAAAGTTTAGTAGGTGGTTGCTGCCTTTCGGATCTGAGCAGCCACCTTCTCCATCATGACTCTTCTTCATATTTCATATATGAGCAAAGAAAACATTGAGAGGGGAAACAACCTTGAGCCAACCAGGAAAATGGCTTTGTTAGGCTCCATATAGGATTTACTTACGTCAAGTTGTACCTTCCTGCTTGTGCATTAGAGACAGCGAGGACATCAAAGAACATCTGTCAGCTAAAGAGGTATAGAGCTAATATACTCTGAGTTCCCAAACTGCAGTTTATTTATAGGTTTTAGTGGGTACTTTGCAGGCCTGCACGTTTTCAGCTCAAAATATGGCCCCCAAAGAAAATGTGGTAAATTACCTGCAGCCATTTTAATGTGTGGATTTTTTTTTTTTTTTAGCACTGCACAGTCTGGTGAAACATAGGAAGGGAGCTGTTTGTTCAGAATGGATTTAGAAGTAGTGTGTAGTTTAAGGGATAACGAGTGACTGCTAGTTTGTTGAAGAAGATGAACGAATTGTTGTTGAAAGATTTTGGAGGAAAAGAAACAGCTCCCAAAGTTCCAGTAAAATTCTATATTAAAAAGTAAGACATGGATACATAGGGAGAAAACATCCACAGTCAGCCGTGAGCCTGCCTGCCTAACCTCTGACTTTTATACAGCTACAAAACAGGTGTGTGTATTTAGAAAGAATTAAATCAAGGCAGTTTTAAAATCCAGTGTCCTTCTAGTGGCTTGGGTGAGATCTCTAGGGACTGGCACCTCCTTATGGCAACGCAGGAGGTCCGTAAAGGACAATAAGTCACCTTCCAAGCTGCTTAAGTGGTGGTTCAAGAGTCAGACAGGGCAGAGGAAGAGGCAAAGAGCAACAGACAGTTGCAACTGGATTTTCCAAGCGACTGCTCTTTCTGACACTTGAGCTCCTGGAGGGTGGCCAAGGTCAATCACTGCAAGATTAAGGCACTCGGAGATACTAGACGCTTGGCCATAACGTTTACTCTTTCAAAGTGAATCTTTAGCGCATGTGAATTTGTGATTTCTGAGCGCAAAGGGAGCAAGAGTCGCTTGGCTGTGTTTCATCACAGGCTGCGACGTTGCCCGCTCCTCAGTGCTGTCAGCATTCGGCAAGGAGCTTCCGCGGGTGGGAGCATGGAAATGCCAGCCCTAGTTCACATCTCCAGCCCAGCCATAATCTCCAGTGTAAACTCAGTGCTGCCTTGCTGAAAGCGTTGGAGAGGTTGTAGATTCAGAGACTCTGGGGTTTAAATACTGTATATAAAATAGCTCGCTGGCAGATGCGTGCCCGCCTTTCACTCCCGGTCTGAAAGCTCAGCACTTCCCAATGGGCTGGCCACTCCTGCTGCCGGCTTTTCCCTCTCCTTTGTAAACAGCTGCCCTCAGCCACTTGCACCAATTCACTCCTGAAAAAGGTCTTCTGTGGTTTTTGCTTTTTTCCCTCTGTTCTGATGCTTATTCCTGAAGCTCCTGCTAGGAGCTGCCTAACCCAAAGTCCTGCTTATTGCAGGTCTTCTAAGTTTTCACTAAATGACCCACTGTGACTCTTTGCACTACTCCTTTCTCTCCCCTAGCCTGCTAAGCAAGATAGGCAATGTTACTTGAAGGTGCGCTATGTCTAGTTCAGCATTTCCAGGCCCATCATAGTTTTTTTGTGGGGAATATAGATTGGCTCAAATCCCAACTGTCAGTCGGAGCGTCAGTGGGAGTCTGAAGGGGAATCACAGAAGCTGATGTTCTTGAAGTTATCTCTTACCCTGGGTCCTTTTGTATTGCAAGGCCAAGCAAAAGGAGCATAGTTTTCCCTCAGGAAACCCCAGTAGGGTCTCAGATTCAGCTGAGCTGGACAGCTGACACTGTGGTTGTCCAGTGCAAACATATCAGAAAGGATGTCGGTTTTGCAGCTCAAGGGACATTAGACCTTTTTAGTCAAACAACATACTGATATCCCAAAGTGGCAGGTATATTGAAACTAGTTTTGTTGAAAAGTGGTGTTCAGGGCAATTTTCCTGGAAAAATCAGGGCACGTGGCTGATGCAATTTTTCTATAAGAAAACCTGTAGGCCGCACTTACGTTGGAATGACAATAACAGTGCTATAACATTTTAAAAGGGGCATGACTATGCATGTCTCATCCAGATGAGACATTCTTCTAAATGACAAGTTTGTTTAGCAATGTCTCTGGATTTGTACAGAAACCATACCACTATAACAAACAGAATCACAGAATCACAGAATGGTTTAGGTTGGAAGGGACCTCTGGAGATCCTCTAGTCCAACCCCCCCCTGCTCAAGCAGGGTCCTCTAGAGCATATTTCCCAGGATCGCATCCAGGCAGGTTTTGAATATCTCCAGCGAAGGAGACTCCACAACCTCTCTGGTCAACCTATTCCAGTGCTCAGTCACCCCAACCATGCCTTAGAAGAGATTTTCTGATACAAGGTATGAAGTCAGCATTGATTTCTGTTGAAGGAGCTGGGATAGAAAGTTTAGGTAGGATGGGTTCAAACCAGGCTAGTCAAGCAGGAGGAGAACACGGCTTAACATCAGGGTCTTGGTTCCATCCACCCTTCACTGATATTTGTCTGTAGCTTTTGTTGCCATGAGCTTCTTCAAATCTTGCTGCCTTTGAGCTCTCACAATCCCTTTCTCAGTCCACAGCTAGTGAACTCTTTTATTTTATTAACTCTTCCTCCTCTTTGCTGCCTCTCTGCCTTCCAGTCTGGGCCTCATGCTTGAGTCCCTGAAGTATCCCTATACTTGGTCTCTGAATGATCCTTTCTGCAAACTTCATTTAAACTGAGATCATGCTCATCAACCTCTTTGCTTAGGCTGTCTCCCTCCATTCACATTGACTGTTGGACTATTTCTCTAGCATCCTCTTTTCAGGTATTTCCTCAGGGGCTCAGGAATCAGCTGGCACATAATAGAGTTAAAACCGAACTTCTGATCGCTTTCCCCTTACTCCTTTTTCCTATGATTTTTCTGTAGTGACAGAACTTCATTTGTCTGGAATGTTTTACTGGAGCCATTGTAGACTGGTTTCTGGTTGCCATTCCTGATATGTAGTCCCCCTCATGCCAGTTTGAAATGTTGTCATCAAGATAATCCATGCTGAGAAAAATAATTTATCATGATGTTTCTCTGGCCCTTTACTCGGGTCTCACTGTCTGGACGATTCCATCTTCCAAGGCAATGTGACAGAATATCTTTTCTTTTGTGGTGTAGGTCAGTTTTCTGTTGGCTGTTTGGAGTTGGTGCTTCAGCCAACAGAAAAGTCCTTCAAGAAGTCAGAAGTTGTTCATATCCCATCTTAAAACTTAAAAGAAACTCAGAAAGTAGCTACAGGGTTAGTGATATATGAAAACTGCAACTGAATGGTTAAAGAGCTCAGTTAGATTTAAAGCAGCTAGGCAAGGGGCCAGTGCCTTCCCACTGATTATAAGGCAGTTTTGTAGGACATAATCTATATTCTGGACCATGCAAAACTCTTGTGGCTAGTTCACATGGGGAATAATAGCCAGCTTTTGATAACAATTGCTTCATTTGCTCAAGGGTGGAAGTCTAAGCTGCAGGAGATGAGCTGTTCTGGGGTCAGATTGCAGGTTCATCTACTCCCTTATCCAGGCTCTGACATGTATGGAAACTTTCCTTTTATCTGATCACCCTTGTCACCATCCTACTGATGGACACAATTCTACTGTGTCCTTTCAAAGAAGAGACAGAGAACTTGAATTGTACACATATTGTTTTCTTTCTCTTTCTCTCTCTCTCTCTTTTTTATGCCCTCCTAGTAATTCCTTGTACTCTATTTGCTTTTTTTGGCCACTGGTGAGCATGGAGTTGATGTTTTCAAGGACCTCTTTATCATTAGTTCAAGATCTCTCCTCTGAGTGGCAGTGATCAGTGCAAAGCTCATTAATCTGTAAGTGAAGGATTTTTGTATATCGAATTGTTTCTTTCCGTGCTCATCAGTCTTTCTTACAAGCCTGAGTGAATGGATTTTAAAATGGCAGATGAAATTCAACACAGCTGAAAATTCTTTATGCACTTTATGTGCATTGTTTTAAGAGAATTTCAGATATATAACTTTTTTTTTTTAAGTATCCATCAAGATTTCAGAAAATCAAGAACCACAATCTCTCCTTATTGCACGTTTTAACACAAATATTGTAGTATGTCGTGTGGGATATTTTCTTGAAAGGATCTGCCTGATGCAACTCTGATCATGGCAACAGAAATACGGACACTGTCATTAATTAACATCAATTATTTTTCTTTTCTTTAAGGGGCAAATGTTCACGCAACAGACCCAAGCCGTAGACTGACTTCATGGGAATGGGCTTGTTACACAGGAAGGTCAGAATCTGCTTTCATCATGCAAAAGCTGATGGACAGGCCATGCCCAGAACAGTTTTGTGATCAGTATAAACCAGAATGGCCAAAGATGAAGGAACTTCTTGCTAAGGCTGCAGAGCCAAAGAGCTGTTTGCAGAGGATTTCAGAGTGCATGAGATCAGCAGTCTCATTCCGGGCTTTCCGTGGCCCAGAAGAAGATGGGGTCCTTGATCACATGGTCCGGGTGACAACAAGCTTAGGCAGTCCTTTTATTGCTCTGTCATGCAGGACTGTGTGCCCAGGAAGCCCACCTTCTGTGGGAAAACGCAGACTGGCCGTGCAGGAAATCCTTCGGAAGCAGAGAGCCGAGCAAATCCGATCTCAGGACAAAGACCACGTTAGCAGCTATGAGAAATTATTTCAGAACTCCAAAGTCACGCTGATCCCCAAAAAGAAAGACCGTCGAGCCAGTCTGCAGCCCGCTAGCCTTGTGGTACCTCAAGTGAGCACTGTAGCCCTCAGGAAAGCAAGCCTCTTGCCGCTCCACCTTTTGAGACGGAGCAGTGTGAGACCAGGATTTGTCATCCCCAAAGTCCGCATCAGCAAGGCACCTGCACCCACCTACCAGCCAGAAAATGCAAGACGGAGGAGCAGCGCTAAAGATGACCCGTATTTGCAGATTCCTAAATGGAGATACAAGGAGCTAAAAGAGGAACGGAAGAAGGTGGAGGAACTGGAAAAGAAAAAAGCAGCAGAGGCTCAAAAACAGAGGCAGGCATCTCCTGCCAGGTGCAGGACCTGATTTATTGGCAACTGCACGTAAGGTTTTATGGCCGTTAGTCTTGTTATCTGGGCAAGATAACAGACTGCATGCCACCGCGCATGCGCATTATGCCTGGAGCTGGAATACTGAATAATGGCCGTTAATGGTGCAGTACCAGGGCATGGGCTGTGCCACAGTATGTCTGCTGGAGTGCGAAGGCACTTGGGGGTGGAAGACATAGGAGAGTTCACCTGTCTGTTGTTGATAACAAGTTTAAATGGTGCAGTCCCTTTGTGGTTTGCTTTCTTCCAGTTCCAGGTGAATGACTGAGAAAAACCTTGACATGAAACGAGCCTGTGTCTGAAAGGATCATATTTTGTGTTTGTTCATTTTGTAACAGACAAAATTAAGGAGTTGTGCTCTTGACACTAGGTATTCTTTCATCCCCTTGTTTAGGTAGATGTGTTGCAAGGTTTTATAGTAATGATGAGACGTTTTAATTATACCACGGTGTTCGTGGCTAGTGAAAATCCAGGTCTACAAATTGATCTGAAGATGCTAAGCACTTTATGGCATTTTAATTCCAGTGATCAAAATTTAAGATAGGATAGGTATTAAACTCTGCAGCTCTACACAGTCTGTACGGATGCAGTTCTTAATGCTGTTCTTTGTTCTATTGAATATAAAAAGGGCTGTATATGAAATATTTCTGCAGTTTGAGGTGTTGATATCCTCCGCAGGTATAAATCAGGTGCAGGGCCTGATTTCTATTAGACCATCAGAGAACATGAGCTAATTTTGGAATGCTGCGGTCACCTAAGATTTACCTCTCCCATTAAGTTTCCTTCTATCTGCTCTCTGTTGTCTCCTCTTTAGTCTCAGGGAATTTTTTGTCATTGCGTTTAACTGTGAAACAAGGGAGCTGGTGAGCCATAGGCAGGCTTTGTTGTTGTTGCTGTTGATATTTAAGTTCCTGTTAAAAAACAGACCAGGTTTATTGTGAACTTCACCTCTAGGACCTTTCCAGGTTATAGCCACGACAGGATAATCATGCAATTTCCAGAAATTGAAGCATGCATGAAGTACAGCCATGTGCTGTGAAAATCCAGTCAGAGATGCAGGATCAGACAGCTCAGCCACTAGGGATTGGAAACTTTAGCCACTCGTCACTGTACACTTTGATATTATGCATCTGAGTGCCTGGAGACGACAGTACCTCACTCCTCTGTCTCAACACAGGGAAAAAAAGCGTTCCTCAATGCTGAAGTTAGAGCAGGAACAGGCCATGCTCTTCCACAGAGGAAGACTGCCATGTCTGTCATCCTGTCACAGACTCTCTGGAGACCATGACGCTAATCGGACATGGGGGACATACTGCCCTCACAAGATGAAGGCCTTCAGAGCAATTCTCCCATCCCAAGCTTGATCTAAACTGCCAAGTTGGTGAGAGTAGCACTTGGTACTACAGCAACACATCACTGCTTGATATGCACGAGCACTCTTGCAAGTGGTAATCCCCACTGGTTGCTGCAGGTCCTTTTGGTCCATATGAGGGCTGTCTTTGGTTTTACTCAAAGTCAGTCATGCTAAACCCTGGCAAATCCTGGTAAGGAAGGGCTCTATACTTGCTGCTTGCTGAAGAAGGACATATTCATAAAAAGTAGAGGTCAAAGGCAAACAGCAGATCATACAGGAAATACTCAGCCTATGTTTTTGCTCAATTTGAAATGAAACGTGCTGTTGTGTGTCCTGCTCATGGCATCACTCTGCTGGAGTCTGAGTAGGCCTTAGCTGCTGCTGTTGACATCAGCTCAGTGCATTTCATAGGCACTAATCTTGTGCTGGATTTTGTCTGACGGGAATATAAGGCAGAAGCTGATACTCACTTCATTTGGGGAGAGGGAGAATAACGTTTTAGCTCTCTGTGGCAAAGCCGTCAGGATGGATTTTTGTTGTTAAGACAAGTGTATTGAACGGTTTAGCTGGTAATTTTTGTTTACTGCCAGCCCAGTGTACTTAATATTTAGCATTCGGATTCAGCAAAAGCAACCTGTGCTGCAAGGTGAACCCTTGAAATTGCACTCTCAGTATCACTTGCAGGAGACATACAGTTGACAGGTGCTCTCAGGGATTAACGCACCAGATGTTAAAATTAGGGGCTGATAATGAAGCCTGTTTTCTAACCCTTTGTACTTTATGATATATGTGTGTATAAATATGTGATATTTCCATTAAAAGAAGCACAAGCTGTGAAACTTATTGGAGACCTTATTCTTCAGAGACATTTGGGGATGTTGCCTTTCGCTTTTCAGCAGACTGAAAGTTCACTCCCTTTCACCAGCAAACTAATCAGTAATATCTGAAAGCAGTTCAGTTTGCCTGAAACGAGTTGACTTCCATGCCTCGTGAATATTTCCCTACGAATAAAAGAAAATCACAGCATTTGTCCCTGCATGGGGCTTTGGTTGGCTGTGTCTCTGTAGAGAGGAGCAGTTGCTTATATGACCTGCACATTTTTTACTGCAAGTAGACAATACCCTGGTGTCACTAGAGATGGGGGTGACTGAATTTTCTGTAGCTGTTTAAGGCTTTAAGCTTCCTCGGTTGGGAACTGCAGGCACAGAGCTCTCGAGGGCTGCCCCGTGCGTGATGCTGCATCCTGCTGCCTGATGCTCATGGGGGCAGCCTGATGGGCTGAATTACTTCTGCAGTAAGCAAGAGGGATTTAAAATAACGATGATGGAAAGCGACAGCCCAAAGGCTTCCCGGCACATGCTAAAACACTATTGTGCTCGCTTTTCCCTTGAAAGCTATGGTGTGGCAGTGATGAGACTATCAACCCCAGTGGAAAGCCTTTCAGACAAGAACACAGACTTACATGCAATTGGCTCTCTGTGCCGCTATACAGTACTCATTTACTTTTTATGCCAGCAAAAACTGTTCCTTAGGCCTTGACAAAAATCCTCACTGGGCATCCATCTCCATCTCCTTTTTTCTGGAAATTTTCTTAATGGTCCTGCATGCTCATGTTGTCCTGTTAAGGGACAGCACTTACAGCTGCTGGTAGAAGACACCTTGCAGAGAAAAATGGCATACAGATTTGTAATATCCTCTGAGGACTTTTTTCTTTTAAATATCTGCATTTCATCAAGAAATTTCCAAAAACTGTAACTGAAATTAGGATCCAATATGCCAATTTGGAGCTCCCCTTTGGAAAGACTGAGCAAGCACCAGGGTGCGGAGCTGCCTAATGATGCTCACTGACTTCAGCCATAAAGTAGGGCAGAAAGAATTGTAAGAAGTGGGAATTGTCTTACATTTTTCTTTTCTTCTCTTTTAAATTAACAGAGGTAGCATTACAAACCAGGGCAGTCATTTGGGTCAGCCATAGAGCCTCTTCATTACTTTGCTAATTACCCAGCAAGAGGGTGTATTCAGCAGAGATACCGGCTGATGAACCACCCAGTAATCATCTCAAGGCAAGCAAAATTTGGATTGACAGTTCTGCACACTCTCTGTATAGTAAATTTTGCAATTAAATCTTTGAATTCCAAGTCTCTGAAACCTGCTAAAGAAACATTATTAGAAAAGTACCCTGGGCAATTGCAAGAGTGGACAAGTCAATGACGGGGGAGGAAGGAAGGAAAATATGGTGATGGTTATGCTGTGTCTTTGATTTAAAACCGGATGGGCTTTTGACTCAATTTTTTCCGACTACTGTGTAGACAAGAGGTAAAAGCAGCAATAAAGGCTTCGTCTGATCTGCCAAGGAACGTATTATTTAAAAAGAATATGATTCAGTATGAGCCTCATTCAATGACTCCTGTTTTTGGAAATTGGCTTTCCTAGTTGTTTTGAGTAGCTGCTTTGGAACACATATGCGCACTTTCCTGACTGCAAGATATTTGGTTTGTACACCATATGCAAGCAGATTTGCTTACTTAATTTGAGGTAATGATACGCATATTAAAATGCTTTAAGCTTCTTTTTGTTTTGTTAATGAAAATCCTGCAAAATGCCACAGCAATCAGGAGAAGACAAGTGTTAGTGTTACCAAAAAACCTCCCCACACCTTCAGTCTTTGGAATTATCAGTTGCTCTCGTGTAAAGTAACTGCAGCAAATATCCCACAAAGTAGTATAAAACAGAAGAAGAAAAAAAAGGAAACAACCAACATGAAGAGAAGCTTTTTCTGAAGGGCTGAGGTTTCCAATTGCACCTATGTGTTCAGCAGGCTACCTCTTTGTGTGCTAACATGGATATTAAATTTTACAAGACAAACTGATTTTGTCCTTATTTATGCCAGAAATAAATGGGCTAATAGCTTGGATGAGGGCTGCAACATCTCAGGGTTCCCCTTTGAAGCTTTTTATCGAGCAATAACTTTGGACAGAGAGCTGTAAAAGACTCAGTGTGAGGTTTACATGGGCAAATGCCTTCAACAGTTTATTGAAAATAAGGCACCTAAATAAATCTATCACCCAGCAGGCTGGCCATCAGGGCTGCTTTCTAGACTGTAGATCTTCTAGTCTTACCAAAATGTTATGGGTTAAGGTGACTACGAGCTCAAAATAATAATTAATCTGCTGTTTTGAGAAGCATCGCTTCAGTATTGCCAGCAGTGATGGTGTATGTTCACATAAGTTCCCCTATTGCCATGAAGAGGTAAACAAATTCTTAGAGCTTTTTAACTCACAAGCAACTTCCCGTATGTCATTCTATGAGCACCTGTGCTCAAAATGTTCAAGACTACCAAGCTTGCCCTGTCGGCCAGAGGAGTTTGATACACAGACAGCCCACAGAATAGTCAAGAGGCCATTTCTAGGGCAAAAAAACACAAATCAGGGCTTCAAATATGCTGTGGCAGAGAAACGGGTTCCTCAGAAATACCACTTTCCAGCTGCAAAATTCACACAGAAATAGTTCTGCATCAATCCCGCCTGCTGGATTCTTCCCAGGATCTGTAAATATTTTCCATTTGACAACCTGGATTTGCAGAATGTTGCATGGCAGATGCGAAGAGCCAAAGCGCATGGCTT